GGTTTCATACATCACACACTTTTTTTCCAAATCTGTTTGTTTATGCATCGGTATTTTCAATACACCTGCTGAGTTTCATTCAATCAAATCAAACAAAAAGTGTTGTTGTTACTGTTTATATTTCACTCTGTCACACAGATTTGCCAGAACAGTAGCACTTTTAGTTGGGCACCAGCAAAGGGGAAAGTTGCTTGTCTGTTTGGTGTATTTTAAGTCTCTGCGGTAGGCCAGTAACTGATTGGCCTTTTTCTTTTTTTGTTCTATTTATAGCAATCTTTCCACCGTGTCCACTATGCTTTGGTCAAGACCTTTGTCATGATGATTGGCGAGTTTGAATTTGATGGCATCTTCCACTCTCTCAATTACTTGGGGTATGGTCAGGACCAGATGGACCCCGAGGAATTGTTCCTAGTGGACGTCTACTTCAATGGCTTGACCTATTCCATCTTTGTCATCTTTGTTATCATCATGTCCATCATCATCATGAACTTACTGGTCTGTATCTCTTTTAGTATCTTCAAGCTTGTTTTTAAGGGGAGTTGCAAACCTTACCAGAAATGGAGACATACCCCTTAACATGCAACATGCCCTTTAAACTATGAGCAAGTTTGATCAAGGACCACTAGTTAACTGGTGGTCGGTTGGTGACATACCTAGCACATGTGCAGTGAAGTTGAAGTGCGAATGACCCTAGTCAACGGTTGTCAGGCCATTAGGCCAAAGGGGAGAAAAGGTGGCCGCAGGAAGGGCAGAACAGCAAAAATAAAAGTGAAAATGGTCGTTTACTAGTGACATTCTGTTTTTTTTCAGCATTTATTTTATAAGTGGTCTTTCTGCACTGTGCCACTAAAGTGATTTACTGTAACCAGTGACACGACCAACCTCGATAGGCTTGTTGGGAATAGTTGACTAGACTAGTCTAACCACTGTCGACTAGCATGCGTTAGATAAAAGTTAGTCAAACTATGGCTAACTATGGTCCTTGATCAACCTTGCCCTATAATGCCGATATTGCAGCAATGGGACAAGACAGGCTGAAACACCCCATGCAAACCTTCACATGTTCTTCCATCAGTGGGCTCTGGTTAACACTTGAATGCTGAATTTCAGGAAAAATGGCCTTAAGGCTCATATTCAGGATCTGCGCACATTTTTGGTAATGTGTGACCAATGTTTGGAGTGTTCTTTTTATTCCCATGATAGATGTTTGAAACTCATTTTGGAACTTGAGGTGAAGAAGCTGAGATAAGGAACATGGCCTAGAGTCCTATTGATTTGTCTCTCTGGGGAAACTTTATAGTGGCTTTAGGCTTTCCCTAATACATACATGTATAATTGTGAATTTCAGGTGCTTAAAAGTTTTAAAAACTGGTTGCCTATTTTCTATCAAGAATTCCTTTTATGGCAAGATTGGCAGATTTAGCTTTTAAGGTTATGTTAACTCTTCTAGTTGACATCACTTCTCTGTGATTAGGTTGGTTTGGCCGTAGATGACATCAAGGAAGTCCAGGAGCAAGCCAAGCTCAAACGTCTTGGAATGCAGGTGAGTAGATTGGTGCCAAGTAACATTTTGTTTGTGTTTCTCCTCAAGCTCGGCAAAGTCTCTTTTCCAGCTTTTCACCAGTTTTAACAAAGGGCATTAGAATGAGAGTGTTCTGGCTGTACATGTACATAATATGTGTGAATATATGTATACTGTGTATGCAAGACTGAGATCTGAGGAAATCAGTGTGTTTGTGAAACAACCAGGCAGTTATTGTCGTCCAGGAAGTTTTTTTTTAACTATATTTAAGAATTTTTGGGCTAGGCAGTTGCTCAGAGTAGGTGGGAGTCTTATTGTTGAGTCCACCACAAGTTTGAGTTCTACTTATTTGAGTCGCAGTACGAGTTGAAAAAAATCCAAGTCTATGACTGAATATCAGAGTATGGGTCCGTCGATTAACCAAATGCTCTCATCATGAAAAAACTGTTGGGTTTGATTCCGACCAGGTGAATCTGGCCATGGAGGTGCAAGAAGCCCTGCCGTCATTCATGTGGCGCCGCTCTATTAGGAAGACAATCTCAGTCCATCCCAACCGGCAGAGCAGGACCCTGTGGGCTCAGTTCTACCACTGGTATTCAGGACGTGAGGAGCTCCTGAGTGATACCATCACTACAGCTCTGAATCCACCCAAGGTAAGCCCCTTTGAGAGTGGTCTAGTCCAGGGGTGTGTTTGCACAGACAGGGGCTATTCTGTCATTGTTTCCAGTCTTGTTGGCTAAGATTGTTCAGCAGTTCAACACCCTACCATAATTGGATATTATCCAGAAGTAACTGGGGACAAAATATTGCAAGTTCAGAAATGCTCCCCACTGCACCAAACATTGGTAACAGCTTATTTACCTCCAAGATGGTTTTCATGTAAAGTCACAGCCCTTAGAACTTGTGCAATTGCAGAGTAAGCAATGTCTGCCCAAAGCCACACTGGTGTTCCTTGGATAACATACTTGTAAACTGGCTGAAAATATTTCTAGCCAAGCCAGTCCATGGCATGTTGCTCTGTAGCTAATGCTGGTA